TGCGTTTTCTAGGATTTTAAAATAAATTCTCACATGAAATGGTAAGCCGAGCCTGGTGTGACTTACTTTTGTGAATAAAAGAATCAAATAAGTGTTGCTAATCAATTTTTCTTTGGTACTTAAAAGCTTTTAAATAATCTTGGGAACAAAAGTTGTTTAGGGTTTGTTTTGGAAAAGTATGAAGAAAGTGCTTAAAATGCCTGATAGCAATTCTAGCAAATAAATAGTGAGTGGCTTGTCCTATTTGATTAAGCATGAAAAACAATTTTTATAAACAAAAATAAAATATAACTTGTATTTAGTACTTAAATACAATTTGAAGTATAAGTATAGTAGATGAAAATGCAACTTTTGTTTTGGTGAATAGATGTTGTTCAATAGTATTTTTGATAGCTTCAGAATTGAATGTGGAATTCAATTTCAGCTTCTAGAACTAAAATGACATGTCTAAAAACCTAATGACGATGCCGTTTTGGCATTTAAATGTTGATTAAATTTCTTAAACACTAGATCCATGTTTTTGTACTGTTGGTTGCACCATAACGAGTACCTTGACATGGTGTAGTTCATCGACTAGTTCGGTTTTGCGTTGGCGTTGCAAAAATTGCCCGAACTTCGTTGAAACGAGCTGTAGACCATGGTTGTAAGCGCTCTGTTCGCAAACCGGTGTTCAGCGTGATGAACTCATGTTGGCATCCTTTCATCTCCCTCTCTGGTTGCTCTTTGATCGTGACAATTGCTTTGCTAGGCCGCTGTTAGTATCGACTTAGGGTCAGTGGAACTGGTTTAACCCCGGTCGTGTTGATCAGCAGCCTTTGCTTCGCTTTAAAATTCATGCGTAACATGTTTCTGGTCGCTCGGCCTAGAGTGCGCGGTCACCGCGTTCCGGTGCTCACCGTGGCCACGTTCGGCCGAGCCACGCGTGCGCGTGGCCACGCACTGGTGGACCAGGGCCGCCCTCGGCTTGGCCGTGGCCTGGCCGTCTCTGGCCGCAGCGCCCGCTGCTTGCCGTGGGCCACCTGCACAGCCAACCGCTGGCCCTGCGCCCCTCGACCGCTGCCACCCTGCCGCGTGGCTGCCCCACCCATCGCCGCACTACTGCTGCCGCTGTCCACCCTGCCTCGCGCTGCGACGTTGCAGTTGTCCTGCTCACCACCACGCGCGTGGCCTTGCCCCCACTGTCGATGCCGTCACCTCGTCATTTATGGCACTGTGGCCGCTCATGCCATGCCCGGCCATGGACGCGCATGTTTTGTCCGTAGCTGCTGCACGCGTGCCGCACTGATGGATCCGCCCGTGTTCCGCCAAAGCAAGGACGAGCCGAGCTCTGACCTACCCCCTCCCTTCTCTGCCATCCCGACCGGCGAACCCCACTCACTAATTCGGCTTGGAGAGGTCACCTCGACTCGATTCATCGCGTCTCATGCTCCGCCATTAAGTCGCATGTTCGTGCCGCCGTGCACAGAGTTGTCGGGGCATGCGCGAGGAAATTCGAGTAAAGTCAGGGGATTAAATGAATTCGTCTGAGAGACATAGGAATAGTGTTGCGGGTTTAGGCGTAATTTGAGATAAGCTCGAGGTCTCTTTTGCAAAAGCGCCATCGCGCGGGCTTCCCCCGCCGCCGGCCGTCTCGCGCGTGGGCCGCGTCCGCACGAGCCGCGCGTAAATGGGCCGCACGGCTGAAATCGTTTTTCTTTTTCTTAAGAATTGGTTAATGCTTTTCTAATTTAATTTCTAAGCTAAACGTGTAGACTTAATATAAAATCGTATCGGTGTCTAAAAATTATGAAACTAATTTTGTTAAGTACCTAAAATCATGATCTACATGTTAATATATCTTGTTCACATAGTTTCATAGTTTTTTCAGGAGTTATCTCTAATTGAATTGAGATGATTAATATTGTTAAGATATAAACTTGTAGGAATTTTTGTAATAAATTGGTAATAGTGTTGGCTCTAACAATTTCACAGTAAATTCTTAATATTATTAGGTGCTCACTGTAATTTTTAGCTCCATAATAAGTGACTTGCTAAGATAGCTAAGGAGCCCTAGTTTGAATATATATATATATATATATATATATTAAATCAATGAAATAAAGAAACACCTTGAAAGTCTAAAGCTAAAACACTTGTTAGGAAATAATGCCTTATTCGACAACATGGATACGTGGCCTAGTACGTTAGTCATTAGAGCTAGCTCGTTAGCGTGAGAGGCGTAAACGTATTTTAAGAGTTGTGGTTGCCGTTGATTAATTACGTCTCTACGTTGCATTCATGTATATCATAATAGGAATAATGACGACCGGAGAAGCAGAAAAGATGGTGCCTTGATGATCGTGCCACCACGATGGAGGGCTAACTTTTGGTTATATCTTACTCAGACAAGCACCGGTGCATAACCCCTATTATTCTACACTTTATTTTATGCTTGTGCATTAAGTTTTAAGAAGTTGAATGAAACCCACTTGCATACATATATCCTTATCCTATGAGTCTTACTAGTATGGTAGAATCATGTAGCTGCTATGCTATAGGACCTCGGTAGAAGTCGAGTGATTACCTGTCACTCGCGAGAGATAGGAAATATATTATTGTTGTTATTATCATATTACTATCACATGGAATATATATGGATGATAATTGGAGACCGGGCGGGATTGTACATTGGATTTGGACTCGGTTAGGCTCTAAGCGAGGCTTCGGTTGCATTTGTCCCGTCTGAGTCGATTGAGGACCGTCCGTTGCTATGGATGGTAGTCAGGTCACAGACTTAATATCCTGAGCACATACTTGCTTATGGAAGCGGAAAGACTTGTTACTCTCTTGTCATGGGTTTCGGCTCTTTCTGAACCGGCTTTTAGGGGTGGGTACTAGGTGGAGGTCTAAGCACCATACTGAGACCAGGTCTCAGATGTTGGGGGCTTAGAGTCCAAGTTTGGACGGGGACCTGGACCCCGTGACAGGAGTGGAACGGGTTGGTCTTGTTTGTGCCTAGGGCACAAGCGAGGCGTGTGTTTCGGGATACCTAGCTGGGATACATTGATTCACGAATCATCATTTCTTTTGAGATGGTACCGACTTGGCTATGGTCTAGCACCGTAATAAGAATTAGAATATGAAAGATGGTAAAATAGTTCTGATTGCTTACCACATGCTTGAAAGTAGCTTAGGTGCTTACTTAGAATGATTAGCTAATTAACTAAAAATAACTGATAAAAACTTTAAACATAAGGATGCACCATTAGTAATGCTTCCTGCAAATGCAATAAACCAGCAAGCTAAATAAGCCTTGTATATCCTTGGAGTCTTTTATTTTCTCCTGTTGGGTAAGTCTTGCTGAGTATAATTGAGAACTCAGGGTTTTATTTCCCTGTTGCAGGTGACAGGTGGATACTAGAGCTGACTCTTATGTGTAGAAACCTTCTAATGGGCTCAGAGAGGATTCCTTTCATACTGTGATCGTAGTGTTTATTTATAGCCCTCACTAAAGGTTTTTATAAGAAAAGATGTAAAGTCTGCTATCATATCTTATATAGAAATGTCCACTACGTTAATGCTTCACCATGTCATTAGATAAATCTTTGTTTTTGTTGTAACTCTGATCGTATGCTTAATTTCCGCTGTTGCATTCAACTTGTTTAAGTACTCTAATATTGTAATAAAGTGATGTAAGAAATGGCTAAGAATGTTGTAAGGTTTATCCTCTCGCTATGATCCTGATGAAAAATATGGATTTTCGAGTTCTTCCGTTGGGTGTGATCGACGGAACAATTTGAATTAGTGCGCTCCCCTGGGTACTTGGTGTCTAATGGTAGACAGGTACTCTTGGGAGGGCATTAGGTCAGGTGGTTCTGCCACACTCTGGACAAGTTATTTCCAGCGACCAACACCAGGGCTGGTAGAAAGCTCTTCTCGGACGCCGGAGTAGGATCATGCAACCAGCAGCGGAGGCGCCTAGCTTCGTAGGTTGCAGCACTGCTCTTAGCTCGGTTGTAGACCTTTTATGTAATATCGAAGCTTGGAGTTATTTGTTAGGACGGTCCAGTCTACGGCTGTAAGACCTTCGAGGGCGTTCGTTAGAAGCGCGTCGTTTGTATGATTAAACTCTTCTTCTTAATTACAATGATACGTAAATCTTTCGCGTATTCGAGAAAAAAAAAACATCAGTACGATATCTCTAAGAAAAATCTGACTCGAAACCTTCAAGTCTAGTGAAAACCCCAAAACAAATAATCCTGAAAAAATCCTGGTTTTGTGCGATAGAAGCAACCTCACCTGTTTGAAACTTCGATACAGGGACTAAAGTTTAAGATGCGTCACATTGGATGTCACATAGGGTGTCGCATGGGGTGTTCGGATACTAATAAAAAAACAAATTACAGAAGTTCTCAGTAATTCATGAGACGAATTTATTAAGTCTAATTAATCCGTCATTAACATATGTTTACTGTAGCACCACATTGTTAAATCATGGACTAATTAGGCTTAATAAATTCGTTTCGTAAATTAGTCTCAATCTATGCATTTAGTTTTATAAATAGTCTATATTTAATACTACATATAAGTGTTAAATATTTAATAGGACAGCGACTAAAATTTAGGAGGCGGAACCAAACACCAAACACGTGAAAATGTTTTTGTTTTTGCATGGAGGAAAAAGATTCCTACGGGATCGGCTGGCGCCCTAGCTGTCCATGCGGGTTCTGAACGACCTGAGACATCCACTAGGCGATGGTGCTGTTCAGAAATCAAAACATACCAGCATCAGCATGCAGGGGAGCAGAGCAGAACCTCCCGAAGCGGGCGGGCCGGCCGCGGGGTGCCACCGCATTTACCAGCCACATGCACGCATTCATTGCCGCCCCGATTTAACACCCCCGACCCGGACCGGCCCCTCCGTAATATGCCATCGCCGGGTACTGCGACCACTACTACCCTACCACAAGCGCAGCCGCAGCGGCCGCCTCCGGAGAGGATCGGAGAGAGGGGGAGAGGGCATGGAGACGAGTAGGGGGTGGCAGGAGCTCGGCGTCGTCGACACCATCTACGAGGACGACCACGAGGAGGAGGACGACGACGAACACGACGAGGAACAAGAGGAGGAGCGCTTCGACTCGCCCACCTTGTCGTCCTCGGCGGCCACCTCGCGCTCCTTTTCCCCGGAGGTGGAGGACGCCGCCGCCTCCGCCGCGGCGCACCCGTCCCTTCCGCCGGCGCTCAGGCGCGCCGTGCAGGCCTGGTACGTGCGTGCTACCATGCGTGTGCGTCAGTGCGACTCGATTTCGGGAGAGAATGACTGCCTGACTGATCGATCGCCCTCCTCCTTGGAACTGACGATCCGTGCAGGTGCCGGGAGAACGGATCGCGCAAGCCCGACGTGATCGTCCGCGTCCAGGAGCATCGGCTCCCTCTGCACAGGGTAAGATCCTCGACTCCTCGTTCTCTCCCTTCTCGAATGATTACCCAGTCCTCTCTGAACATCTGTGCTAGGTGATACATGCTCAACTTCAGAAAATTTCTCCACAGGATTTTAGCGAAATTCTTAGTTCCAAATTTTCTCCGCTGTACTGCCATCTCGATCGACATTTTCAAACTTGGCAACCGAACCGATCGACCTCTCTGTTTCTGCCGCATTAGTGAGGCCTACAGTTTTTTCCACCCCCTTCTTTATGACAGATCGTGCTGCAGCTGGTGGTACGCCTTCCGTTAGTTAGAAAAATAATAATGAACATTTTCTCCATCCATGCATGGAGAATTAACTCGTGTGCTCAGCTCGGCTGGCTGTGGATACACCGAAACGGCAACGCATGAGAAATCACCGGCCGCAGCACACGTCTCGTGTGATGGCAAGAAACGAGCAACTCGCATTAGTTTTACTGTGTGTTCCGTCATATTCCTTCCCTGCCTGCGCCAGGAGACACGAGACAGTTCCCAAGCCCAATCCACCCGTAGATTCACCGAGACACCTGCCTCTTCTGTTTCTGGCACAACCTTGCAGGCTTGCAGTTGCAGCTCCTCCTCCTGGCGCACCTGCACTGCACGAGAACACGTTGTGGCCAGCTGCAGGTACCAGTTCCGCTAAAATGTAACTCTGCCTTCCAATTTCACGCCGTAGTAGCTGAGGAGTTTGGCTGAGCGTCAATCGGAGCCAGGAATGGGAATTCTCCATTCTCCCGTCTCTGCCAGTTCTGCCCCACGAGGAACAGCTCCCAACAATGGCGTCCGAAGAGGCAATAATTGATGACGGAGTATCTGTCGCTCCCCGCCTTGGTTAGCGCATCGGCAGTCGTCGTTAGGACTCAGGAGTCGTAACTTTCAGACTACTCTTTCCTTAACCGCCACATGAGTTACTGCCTGCCGAGCAAGGGCAAGTTAATTCGTGCATGGCATGTCAGCATGCATATGGCATTATGGCCATCTAGCGTTCCACACTTCTTGTAGTGCTACCCTACATTGTAGCTTCGTTTTCTGAATGTTGCGTTGGTGATTTGAACCGGAACTTTAAACTCTTGTTAAGTTCCCACGTCAAAACTTTACACCCTATCACATCGAATGTTCGACAAATTTACGAGATGGATCTTTTAAGTCTAATTAGTCCATGGTTTGATAATAAAGTACTACAGTAACATATGTGCTAATGTCGGATTAATTAGGCTTAATAAATTCGTCTCGCGGTTTACTGATGGATTCTGTAATTTGTTTTTTTTATTAATATCTGAATACTTCGTGCGACATCCATATAACATTCGATATGATACGCCAAAACTTTATACCCTGCAAGTAAACAAGGCCTAAGACGGGAGAGGAGTAGAGATCCAGCGATCTGGTTTTGGTCCCTCCATGCCATGTCAGTTGTCACATGTGCACATGAGTTTGTGCCTTAAATTCTAGGTGGATGTACAGGCGATGCTGCCGGGGTTTCGAATACGGGCGGCCGTATAGGATTGGGACCAGACCATAGTGTCGACGTACGCGTACGAACGTGAACGTACTGCCCATTTGGCCCATGGCTACGTTCCATTCATGTCTGCCAAGTGACAACATAAGGCCATCTCAAGATGTTGTATCCTAGCAGCAGCAGTAGTACTACTGCAGTACTGCTCGCTAGGATCTACTAAATTCTGAATCTCTGAACGTAGCGGCCATACGTAAATATGCCAGGATACGTATGTTTAGCAATTACTGAACGATTCGTGTGTAGTACTAGTAATCTCTGCAGGGTAGATAAGGTCAGTGAACAAAGCTGCGTGCCGTAGTCTGGCTCTGGGAAGGGCCACTGAAATCTGTAAAGTTGCGTACCATTACTCCCTCACACCTTGCCAAACATTCCTAAACTGCGCTGTCATGTGCACGGCCACTTAATAAGAGTAATCAAGATCTGACTCCTCGCCCTGCAACAATTTGGCGGTTCTACCTTGTGGGGCTCGGTTAATCATTCGCCAGATCAGATCATGGTCTACTAGCTTTCCTCCTGATTGCAGCCACTTTGGCTCACGCAACCTAAAATCTGACACTACCTGACGTACGGATAGTACACTCATTGTTCGTGTCTTTGCTGCTAATGCTAGTGGCTGAAAGACTGATGTGACCGTATCGGCCCGGTTGGGTTCGCTAAAAAAACAAACCGAAATATTATTTCCACTTATTTGTTGTGAGAGAAAAATACTATTTTAACTTAACTAAAAAATACATATTATAAGATAAACGAACAAGGCCATCATGTTTCAAAAAATTTTGGAATTTTGCAGGAGCCAGCTCAATGCCTCAATCCATGCCGCAATTTTTTTTTTGTGTCTAGTACTTTGCAAACCTGTTACGAGTGTGCTCGTTGAGAGGGAAGTGATCATTTCGCGGCCGAATTTTGCGAAGATTTTAACTGATCATTGTTCGCAGGACGTGATCACGTCGCGAAGCAGCTACCTGAGGCGATTGCTGTCGGAGTCCAGCGACATCGCGATCGGGCTGCCGGCGGGCCTCACGTTCGACGCGTGCGCGCAGGCCATCGCGACCTGCTACGGCTCCAACGACGATGCAGCGGCGGCGCTGTCCCCAGCGAGCCTCGCGGCGGCGTGGGCGGCGGCGGGCTGGCTGGAGCTGAGCGCGGGCCCAGGGAGGGACCCCTACGGGCTGGCCCACGCCGCGGAGGACTACTTCTTCCAAGAGGTGGCCACCGACCACGGCAGCGCCGCGGGCGTGCTGCGGTGCTGTGCGGCGTTCCTGGGCGGCGAGGCCGCCGGGCCCGCCGCGGACCTGCTCGTCCGGTGCCTCGAGGTGCTCGCGGCGTCCGACAGCGGGAACGGGAGGTGGCTCGACGACGTGGCCGCGCTCCCCGTGGAGGAGTTCCTGGTGGCCGTGGAGGCCATGCGCGCGCGGTTCGCGCACGACCACGACCTCATGTACACCGTCGTTGACCACTACCTGGAGGTACGTACTCAACACGAATTTGCAACGGGTTGTGCTTGGTTTGATCGACGCCCAGGATAGTGGAGCTCACCTGACAGAAATCACTTGCCATCGATTGTTACTGGCATCTTATAACACATTGATGGCTTGAATATGATGACTTAAGAGCATTTTGCTTAGGTGTACAATGAGGCCACAGGACCACCATTGGGTTGTGTTCGGCTGCTCATATAAACTGGCTTATCAGCCATGGTACAGTATTTTTCTCTCCCAATAAATTAGCCGTACAAATCAGCACAAGCGGCTTATAGACCAGCCTTATGCCGAAGCAAATCTCATATGTTTGAGTATTAGATTGTCCGGGGGTGTTTGGTTACACCTCCTAAACTTTAGTTCCTGTCACATCAGATGTTTGGACACTTCACCCTGTTCGTTTGTTGGTTTTAGCCAGCCCAAACCAGTCAGCCAACAGTATTTTCCTCTCACAATAAACCAGCAGCAGCCAGCCCAAACCAGCACAGAAAACAACCAGCGAACAGGCCGACTAATTCGGAGTATTAAACATAGAAAAAGTCATGCACTTCAACTTTGAGAAGTCAGGAATGCCTTTGTGCTCTGCAGCTTACCTGCAGAGTTGAGTTTTGTTGCCTTGATTCAATTTACCACAGGCTATATGCTCTCACGGTCCTACTGTACTTGGTGCCAAGCAGTTAAGCTAGTACACTACCATTGCAAGTCACCTTTAACATGAATTGTAATTGCTCAACAAAATGTAGGCTAGTGCCATCACTTGTCAGAAGAAAAGAATTGTTCGATGCTAAACTACAGTCTACAATAGCCCTTCTACCTATCAGTTTCCCGGTTGCGTGAACAATTACTGCAGCACTACAATGGCCTTGTTGCTGATCTGTTTAGTGATTCCATGCTTAGAGTAGAAGTAACTGACAATCAGTAGAAAGTGGAATCATCTTGGCAGTATACATTGGAAGCTTTGTCTTTAGGTTGAGTATCTGTTCAGAAAAGTCATGACAGTTCAGCTTTAAGAAATGTGCTTGTGCTCTGCAGTTTACACATCAGCAGTGTTTGGTTGCCTTGAATTTGGTACCACAGGCTGATATACTCCTACTCGTAGTCGTAGTACCAACTAGCAAACAGTTTATAGCGTCTGACTGCCATTGCATGCAATCACCTTTAACCCAATTTTTTAATGACTAATCACCCTTGACTTGGATGGTAATGGTCCAAAATGTAGTAGTAAAATGAGAAATGCAATGGATTATGTCTGAATCTATGAGCCTTTTTTTACTACTTGCAAACTCACATGGCGAACCAACTGATTTCAGAGTTTCAGACATAATAGTGTACACTGTAATTTTTTTTTTCAGAACCACAAGGGGAAGCTTACGGAGGAGGACAAATCCCGGTTGTGCTACAACGTCAACTGCACCAAGCTGTCGCAGCACCTCTTCATGCACCTGGTCCAAAACCCACGCCTCCCGCTCCGCTTCGTCGTGCAGGCCATGCTCGTGGAGCAGCTCCACTCCCACCACACCATGCTCCTCAGCCATCACCACCAGGCCGCTGCACCGGCGCCGACGCGATCGGCAGCGCCGCTCCTCAAGCCGTCGCTCTCGGACGTCCTCAGGGGCGGCGTCGCGGTCGCGGGGGAGGACGCCAGCATGTCGCTCGGCGACATCCTCCAGCGCGACGCCGCGCTGCGCACATCCGCGCACATCCGCGCGTCCATGCAGGCCACCAGCCTCCGCATCGAGACCCTCGAACGCGAGCTGGCGGGCCTCCGCACCCGCTTGCGCCGCTCCGAGCAGCAGCAGGCCGAGGCCGAGGCCGCGGCCGCGATTGGCGCCTCCTCGATCGACCGCGCGCCCGGCAAGTCCGCCAGCTTCCGGATCCCGCGAAGCCGGCTCTGGGACGGCGAGGAGCTCGCGCCCGTTGGCCCCAGTCGCCCTGCCGCCAGGGACAGCAATGCGAGGGGCTTCAGGTCACGGTTGGTGCACGGGTTCAAGAACCTGTTCGGCAGGAGGCAAGGGGCCGCCGGCGCGCCGTCCGCGTGCGGCGAGGACGCCAGTACCCGCTGCTTCGGTGACAAAGGCCCCGCCGCTGGTGCGCCGGAGCTGGAGAGCGACGACGACGAGGTGGTGTGCATGGAGGAGAGGTGGCGGCCTCACCGGAGAAACCACTCTCTTGTGTGATCAGCGGAGCGCCGTCCATGCGTTGGCAAACATGTTGCAACAAGAAAGCAGGGATGGAGTCGTAGAGATTCTTGATATATGGTGACGCCACTATTTTCACACGGCCATATATGCCATCGTCGATGATTGTTAGCTTGTTACTGTTGATGGATGTACCGTGGTGTACGGTTCTTGGATGCAAGGCTCAAGAACCAGCCTTGTGTTTTTGACATGTCGCTGCTAACAGAGAATGAGAGGGTTAGTTGCGTGGAGTAGTTAATTACTATGGTTTTACTCACCATGCAATGTCTTTATTGGCCATAGATCCAAGTATATGTGTGTTCGCGTGCTTTGGCCAGGTGAAGGATCACTATTTCTAGATGCACATAACATTACTACCCAAATGATATTGCAAGACACTGGCTAACCGTACCCGCATTCGTTAATGGTCGGTGCAGCTCTAGAAAAATGCCCACCTCTTAAAATCATTTACGGAGATGGACGTCCTCGATTAACGTTTGCCTCCGTAAATTGACTTTCGTAGGTGGGCAACTTTATTTCAAAATTGTGGTTCCCAACGGGATCTATAACTTTGTAGTAGAAAAGTTTTTGAATCAAAACTGTTTAGGTCCCCAAAATTATGTTATAAGGTTACAAATTTTGCTCATCATGAGCATCTACTTCCTAAACATGATTTTTTTTCTGCGTACTCCCTCCGCCCCAAAGTATCATTCGCATTTTCTGATAAAGTCAAACATTCTTAACTTACCAAATATATTTATAAGAAAATATTAATTATCTAATTAGTATCATTAGATGAATCACCAAATATATTTTTATGATAAACTTATTTGTAGATATAAATGTTGTAATATTTTCTATAAATCTAATCAAACTTACATCTCATAGTGATTTTCCTTTTGAGACGGGGAAGTACGTAGGAACATCGATTTTTAGCATTACAACAACGATTGAAATAGGTCCGGTTCTGCATTCAAGATGGCAATCCTCGTTAGATAATACTAAAACAATTATACTTTCTCTATCTTTGTTTTGCAATATTTATCATCTGTTTTTTTTTTTGAAAGACCTAGTTGCTCGGCATTTATATTAAAATAAGGAGGAAAAAGCATATATAACATGTAGATTATATGCGCGAGAAGCGCAGCCTATGCGAGTGAGCATGAAGTTCATCAAGCATCTAGTTTATTATGTCACAGGCCTTCCAGCAAAAATGTAAAGACTTAGATCTGAAAAAATGTCAAAATTCCAATAGTGTAAATCATGTTCCATGGAGGTTGTGGGACTTTTTTTTTATAAAAAACAATATTGTCATACGCGGATACATATGAAGCAAATAATTTATGATTTCCTTATGCCAGTACCTGCACACGAGCATCTCTAAAAGACGAAATGAGGGCCAAGCTCCTGCTATCCATTGGGCCACGTCAATAGGAATGTCTCGGCCATTGGATATATGTCGGACGCCGTACAACAGCTTGGGCTAGGTAGACCACGAGCTTCCAGAACAGGCTACCATCCCCATCCTCGTTCAGGCTTATTTCATCCTGTCCTAATCCTCTGTCAGCTTGTAGATTCCCTAGCGCAGCCATTAATTTTGCAACCACCACGAGCTTTGCCGCGCCTCGCAATCCATAGCCACGCTGCTCCCCTTCTGTTCCACCTCTGCTTGACCCTCCGCCGTGCGCCGCCGACACCGCATCGGCACCGCTCGGGGCTGCCTCCGTCCCTGCTTCGCGTCACCAGTCCTCTGTCGTGCGCTGCGGCCACCACATCAACACTGCCCTGGAGCACCTCCCTCCCTGCGCCCAACCCCCCTCCCCAGGTCGCCTCTTCCTCGTGCGGTATTGCCTAAAGGGTCAGGCTGAACAGGTATGCACGACTCGTTTCTCAGTTTTTGAAACCAAATCAATCTGATGTGAGCAACTTGATTAGAATCCAAGATTTCAGTTTCCTGGATTGTAGCAGACTAATTAATGAATCAGATATATGAGATACGTAAGCTATTATTCCTAATCCCTATCCCATTGATAGGATTTGTACTCAGCCATGTGAAATCTCCTCCCAACTATTCAGTAATTCTATTTTGCCTGTACCTGCATATGCTTTAAATTTTAAATTTATAAGTGTTACTAATAATTCAGACGTAGAGAAATGCCAATCATATTTATCAAGCGATATAGATGAATTGTCAATATGTGATATAAAACGTGGCACAAAACTTGCTGAACTACTTACAGAAACTGCTCTGATTATATGGGATGAAGCATTGATGACGACAATGCTTTGAAGCTCTTGATAGATCACTACGAGATATACTATCCGAAAACAACACAAAAGCTTCTTATATACCATTTGGAGGAAAAGTTGTCGTTCTTGGAGGAGATCGAAAACATATACTACCTGTTATTGAAAATGCATCGAAGTCGCAAATCGTAAGTGCTTCGTTAGTTAGATCATACCTTTGGAACTATGTCAAGAGATTGTATCTACATGAAAATATGCGTTTACAAAAAATGGAACCACATAGTTTAGAATATAGAGAATTAAATGATTTTAACAATTGGATACTTGAAATTGGAAATGAAACTATTACGCATGGATATAGTACCGACGAAAACTCAGATCCAGACTCCATTATAGTCGAAGTGCCATCAGATTTATTGATAAATACAACAGGGAACAAAATTGAAGCTTTAATTCAATGTACATATCCAGATTTCAAAACAAAGTTTAACCAATCAGAGTATCGTAAGGATAGAGCAATTCTAGCAACAACTAATGAGATTGTTGATGAAATCAATGATTACATGCTAAACGTAGTACCAACTATAGAAAAGGAATACTTTAGTGCAGATACTATTATCAAAATGTACATACACTTATAATGATGCTAATATACTTTACCCTACTGAATATCTGAATACTTTAAATGCAAATAATTTTCCATGCCATAGATTAAGACTCAAAGTCGGTGTTCCTATAATGCTCTTGAGAAATCTTAATCAAAGTATAGGCCTATGTAATGGAACAAGGTTGATAATTACTAATTTAGGAGACAATGTTATAGAAGCTAAGATAATAACAGGGACACATAATGGAGAAACAACGTATATACCGAGAATAAATTTAACAACACTAGGAAGTCGCTAGACATTTACCTTATGTCGACGCCAATTCCCCATAAAAGTTTGTTATTCTATGACTATAAATAAAAGCCAAGGACAAACTTTATCAAATGTAAGGGTATACTTAAAAAAACAGTATTCACACATGGACAGCTATACGTCGCAATATCACGAGTGAGAAATAGAAATGGATTGAAAATATTGATAGAAAATCACGATGGAACATGCGGAAAAATCACTAAGAATATTGTATACAAAGACATACAACAAATGGATTAATCTGACATTGTGAGCACACTACACTTGAAAAGTTTACTATGATGATTCTATAATTTTCTTTTATCATCATGAGTGAAAGTTTAATTTTATTTGAAGATATGTAAGACCTAAGTACACATATAACAATTGCAGATGGATATCTCTCCAATTTTAGACTGCGTCGAAAAGATTTTGCAAGTCTTTAGACCCTGGAAAACATCACAGATGCAGGAGCACGGAGCATTTGATGTTCCTGGTAGTAGGTATGTATAAAAATTTCTATTCTACTATTCTTCTATTTTGTACGTTCGAGGAGTATCAACGTCATATGCTTTTTAGTCATTTACACATTGAATTTACTCTTCATGGACTATGTTGTTTTTCCCCGTGATCTGAATAAGATGTTTGTACTTCATTCAGTTATCTACCAACAAAGAGCAAACTGAGAGAAGAGACATGCAATTTTCCGGAGTAAAATTAAGAAAACTACTATTGGAACTAACTTTAGACTCTTGCAAATCAGTTATGTCCGTGCAGGTAACAATTGAGATCTAGAGGACACTCCATCGTTACACACCGGTTACTACCATTGCTTTCAACGTTCTCAAAGGAACCAACATCGTCTAGATCTGGCTCATTGAGATCCTTCCAGCTTGGGTCTCATGAAGTGTCAAGTTCTTGGACTGTTAGTGAAATTACTGAAACTTTTGATGCGTGGAGCACTCTTGCCATGTAAAGTTCTTTTTGTTATTTAATCCTCTTGGATTATGAACACCTTTGGCAGATCAAGAAATCTATGTAATGGTATTTTTTTTCTTAAATTTGAGACCACGGGTGCCACGTCCCACCCAACCTCGTAGAATTCTATTAGACATGCAATAATATAGTTGTTAGCGCTTTACTTTCATGCAAATGATCTATGATAGGTTGCATGGTAGAATTGCTTGAAGCCATTAAGTTGACGCAACCGGAGAGGTGCCTTGGGATAATAGCCAGGCAAAGAATTTGACACGAGGAGGTGCCTTGTTGCTCCAAACAAACTTCGACCAAGCATCCGGGCTGGAATTTGCTGTCTTGAGTGCTCTGTATATTATTGAAGTATCCAAGTCGCCATTTCTTTTGACCATGACACACCTGCGTTGGTCTCTGCCATGCTGCAGAGTGTAGCGCCCCAAGATCTCAGTTACCTGCAGTAGCTGTGCCGAAGCCATAGTTGAGCGACGCGGAACCAGCGTCTGGTCCAGGTTGGTGTCAACTACTTGTCTGACAGTGAGTTCTTGTTTGTTGCAGTGGCTGTATAATTCTGGGAACCCCTCCACGAGCGAGTCGTCGCCATCCCAGACGTCATGCCAGAAAAAGGTTGATCTCCCATCGACCAGGCTTACTGTTGTGATGGCACGGTATAAGGGCAGCAGTGATCTGAGCATGTCCCAATGATGACCGTGAAGATCGCCTGTTAGCGACGCCACACAGGCATTATTCTGAACCCACTTGGCCCAGGAGGACGCATTGCTGAGGTGAAGTTTGTGAATCATCTTTAGGAGAGGGCACGTGTTCTGTATACTGAGATCTTTCAGGCCTAGACCGCCTCTGTCCTTCTCTTCACAAACATGT